AAAATAGTTGTGGCAAAATTTCAGCCCACTATCTCCATTTTTTCAATTAAAAAATTTTTTAAAGCTTTTTGTTTAAATAAAAATAAACCACCTTGTTGCCTGTTCAGCTCTAGTTTAACAAGTGCAAAATTGAAGTAGCTAGGAATTACCGTTTATAGTTTTCTAAGATTTTAAGAGAATTTTTGAGGATTTTTACGAATTCTTCGAAAATATCTTCTTATGAAATATACTGGAAGTTGTGCTTTTATTTTGCTTAAAGAAAAGCAGGAATACTGGAGACTTTTTGCTGAAAATTGTTTATTTTTTATTATAAAATTCATTTTCATTACAGAGGCCTCTGTAAAAAAAACGGTATTCAAATATGCTAATCAGTTTTACTTGCATGATATACGCATTTACTATTCTATTTATTTTATTATTTTAATACATGTAACTTGTTAAAGCTATATTTTTTTAAAAACTATTTTTTTGTTAAAACTAACGGGTGATTTTTTTGAGGTTAGGATTTTCATGCATTAGTATTTGACAGATCACGTGGGATTTCAGACATGGTGTCAAAGAGAAAGATGCTCAGTATGCTTTGAAATTTCATCATGAATAGACTTACTAACGAGCAACGCTTGCAAATCATTGAATTTTATTACCAAAATCAGTGTTCGGTTCGAAATGTGTTTCGCGCTTTACGTCCGACAAATTTTGTTCAGCGATGAGGCTCATTTCTGGTTGAATGGCTTCGTAAATAAGCAAAATTGCCGCATTTGGAGTGAAGAGCAACCAGAAGCCGTTCAAGAACTGCCCATGCATCCCGAAAAATGCACTGTTTGGTGTGGTTTGTACGCTGGTGGAATCATTGGACCGTATTTTTTCAAAGATGCTGTTGGACGCAACGTTACGGTGAATGGCGATCGCTATCGTTCGATGCTAACAAACTTTTTGTTGCCAAAAATGGAAGAACTGAACTTGGTTGACATGTGGTTTCAACAAGATGGCGCTACATGCCACACAGCTCGCGATTCTATGGCCATTTTGAGGGAAAACTTCGGAGAACAATTCATCTCAAGAAATGGTCCGGTAAGTTGGCCACCAAGATCATGCGATTTGACGCCTTTAGACTATTTTTTGTGGGGCTACGTCAAGTCTAAAGTCTACAGAAATAAGCCAGCAACTATTCCAGCTTTGGAAGACAACATTTCCGAAGAAATTCGGGCTATTCCGGCCGAAATGCTCGAAAAAGTTGCCCAAAATTGGACTTTCCGAATGGACCACCTAAGACGCAGCCGCGGTCAACATTTAAATGAAATTATCTTCAAAAAGTAAATGTCATGGACCAATCTAACGTTTCAAATAAAGAACCGATGAGATTTTGCAAATTTTATGCGTTTTTTTTAAAAAAAAAGTTATCAAGCTCTTAAAAAATCACCCATTATATTCAAATATAATTATTTCTGAAAATATCTTAACATATTTCAGAATTTAAATTTTGTGGAAAAATGCAATCCAAGTTTTATCAATTCATACAGTTGGTATACAAAAAGACAGATGGAAAGACACATATCTTTGCCATATTTGCTGATCATATTCTACTTGTCAAGCTTATTAACGGCATAATGAAATTTCCAAAATCGTAAATTTAGAGTTACACCTCTATATTATTAAACGTGCGATATCTCATTGAAATTTTTAAACACAAATAGGCAGCGAAACTGATTAGAATGCATACATTTAGTTTCGTAAACAAAGTCGTTTATGTTTTCTGCTGAAAAGTTTTTTTCTTTACTATTACTAGTCAATTAAGATAAGCGCCACTTTAGTTTGCAACTGAATGAAGCAAACCAAAACAAAAAAAAAAAAAACAATTTTAAAACTTATTTAAATGTAAGCAAGTTCCGAACGGCTGGCAGTAGATGCATATTTTTAGTGCATCGCTTACAAGTCAGAGCTAAGAAAATTTAGAGTTTTAACGCAATGAAGTTGCTTTACCTTATTTCGTTTCTGTGCATATTGCATGCGGGCAGCACTTTGGAATTCACAATCCTGGATATACTCCGCTCGCTGGAACAAATTACGGAAGGCGTAATTGCGAGTGCACCGGGACCCTTGCGACCACAATATATTTTCAAGACCATTAAAAATGCAGTAGAAGGTTTGCCTTTTCAAATTGCAAGCGCAGCAGCAAATGCCATTTGTAAGTGTGTAAATATGTACATACATATATATAAACCAATTGCTTAACCACGAAGATATTTTAATACTCTGATTTTATGCTCAAATATTTATAAAAGGCTCAGCTGTTATTGCCAGAGGCAGAGATCAAACACCAGATCAGTATAAACCAAGACTAGAAGACATAAAGTTCCAATTTCGCACAGCCTGCGATAAACGTGAATATCCTATAGAGGATCCGTCCGGGTTAGCTGACGATGCGGATTTTGACCCTCAGAAACAGACAGTTATATTTTCGACCGGCTGGACCACGACTGTAAATAATGAGCGACATGATGCGTTAGCCAAGGCGTATAACTGCCGTGGAGATACTAATTATCTGGTAGCAATATACTTAGTTACTCGTTTAATATAGAAATTCCATTTAACTTCGTCAAAGCTAGCTATGTATGTATACTTATTCAAATTTTGATTTCTATTTTTCAAGGCATTAGATGTTGGCGACTATATCAACACACTTTATGTGTGGTCAGCAGAGAACACCGACACTATTGGCAGATATGTCGCCGAGGGCATACAACGTTTGGAGTCTATTATAGATATTGGAAACCTTCACATAATGGGTCACAGTTTGGGTGCACAAATAATGGGTTCTGCAGCACGCTACTATCGCGATTTGACTGGCAATACATTGCCTTATGTGACTGGAATTGATCCGGCATTGCCGTGTTTCAACGAAGGTGAAGCGCTCACAGTGATATCTTCCAGTGATGCCGAATTCGTGGATATCATACACACAAATCCGGGTGTAAATGGTCAGGTCCAGTCCTTTGGTCACGTTGACTTTTACGTTGGTGGTAAATTTCCCATACAGGATGCTTGCAATGATCCACAATGTTCACATGAAATTGTTTGGAAATACTACGCCGAGTCGGTTTATCCAAATAATGTTAATGATTTTTTGGCAACTCGTTGTAGCTCCCTGAATAGTCTGCAAGAGGGCAAGTGCCGTGGCAATGTGTCTCCGATGGGTTATGCTGTGCCTCATGACATAAGAGGCCGATATATTTTGGAGGTGAATGCTGAAAAGCCATATGGAAAAAATGCTACCGCAGACTATACGGATCCAGATGCCTCAGTTTGTGGCAGTTGTCAGTAATTGGGGTATTTAGCAAACCGCTCATAGATAGCTTATATTATTTTTTTTATAATATTTCATATTCGTGTTGTGGTCACACTCGTATTTATGAACATACGGATGTGCATAAGCGTTATGTACGTTATGTAAGGTATATAAGCGTTTCAATTATTTTGTTATTATATGTTCCATATAAAGTTCTTTATTCTGAATGGTGGTGGTTTATACACTTCAAAGGATTTCTCGATTTTGTTAATATGTATCCATTTTTATTTTCTCGCATGGAATCAATATCAATAAATATCGTATGGTTTTAAAGTTAGAGATCGGTGATCTTTGAAAATCATAATATTATTGGATGAGGTTCTCTTTTTTTTGTAATTTTTTTTATTAATTTAAAATTTGTATTATGACACTATTGTGAATATTGGATTGCAACTGATATTCGCTAGATGGCAGTGCAAACGCAAATGCGCAATAAGTGCAGCTGATTTCCGTCGATACGGAAATGTGAAAAGCGTTTGTGATATTAGTTTGTTTGGGTTTCTATTTTATTTTGTAAAAATTTCCTGTAAACATTTTCTTTTTTAATTAAATGTGTACATATGTATTACTATCGAACGGACATATAAATCCCATAATATATTTGGGTCTAAATGCGTGATAAATACTGATAAAGCTGAACATGAAAACATGCTGAAACATGCCAAATTTCGAACTTGTTTCAGGCTTTGCAGGCTTTTCAGGCGTTATTCATTTGAATGGCGTAATCGATATCACTTACTATATTTTAGAGGATTTCTAAACAAAGTTTAGGCGATAAAATGTAAGGAAAAATTATTTATTGCTTGAACATTAATATGAAAAAGGGACAAAGGTACTGAATCCATTAATGTTAAATGGTAAAAGAAGTATTACTTTTATCGAACTGTAATTGTATAGTCGATAACTCATTTGTCGGAAAACTCATCTTAACATTTTTGGATATTTGTCAACAAAATAATTTTTATAATTTGCTTATAAATCGTTTACTATTTTATATTGCGCTTATATTGTTTTTGATAAATTTTTTATTTTATTTTTTTTTTGGTTTTTGTCAATGCATAAACCGAACTAACACTTTCCGTTTTTTTTTTTGTTCTGAAGCGTAAACTTTATGAAAACAATGACAGTCAGTCCATTTTCGCATTTGGTTTTTTTCTCGTATTTTATTTCCAGCTAAATCTATTGAGGGAATAGCCGTGACTGCAATGTATTCAAAACTTCTTTCATAACTATCAGAAAATGTTAATAGGGCTATAGGTAACATATCGATCTCACTCTTAGAAGACGATCTCGCAACACTTGAGTTGTAATTTTTTAGCTCCTCAACCACATTCATAAATACTGATTTATATTATCGCAAACTTTTAACAAGCCTGTAAATTAAAACTTGTAAAATTATATATTTCAGCAACCGAAACTATGCTAAAGTTCCATATGTAACGTAACTCTTCTTCTTACCGTTTTCTCTGGTAGGCTGTAGGTGTGTTTTTGGTTCAGTGTGTTAGTGTATTTTGAATAAATTGTAATAGAAATGGAAGAAATTGTAATAGAAAAGAAAGAAATTTTAAAAGATAAGAGCGAATGCCAAAAAACAGGTGATCTCAGCTGTAGGCAATTTTGGGAAATCAGTTGATCGTACTTAGGAGACTGAACGATGACCGAAATTTCTTCGTACAGTGTCATTCAATTCCAAAGGATTAAAGGCATCTAGTCAAGTTTTCCGCTGCATTTTAACTATGTATTGCAAAATTTTGTCGCCTTTCTTCATTGAAAAAGATTATTCCCGCACTCCAAATAAAATTCATTTTGTTTATTAAATGCAAAACAGCGCTTTTTATTTACATTGTGCCAGCTGATGTCGAAACTTCAAAATTTGGCATTTGAATTTGGCAGCACTTTTCGAGTTCACATGGACTCAGTGATAGCAAATTTTTTCGTATTCGCAGCTGAGGGTTGCATTCGTAAATGTTCTACGAAGGACTCAGCGATAGAGCTAAGTATCTACGCTTTTGTGCGCTTCATCAGAGCTACAAATTGGTTTTATTTTGAAGGCAAGAAGATTTTGAATACATTTTATTTTATTTTAAGCTTAGAGTGCTCACCATATTTTATATACGTTAGTACTAATGATCGACAAATCCTGTTTTTTACAAATAAAAGTAAACTAAATGTTATGCATATTATTAAACTTATGAATTTTGATATTTGCAACAATCAAAAGCTATGCTGCCTAAAATTACGCTAAAAATTTTAATAATGCTCTACCGGTTTTTTTTTCGTGACTTTAATACAACTGAATCCCATCAATTTTTACAAAAAGTATGCACGAATTTTTAAATTTTTGGACACAACAATCAGCTATATCAAAGCTATGGTTGTAGATTTTAGACTACACAAATACTTACCTTCAACTTACTTGCTTATTCACAGTGTGTAATGAATTTGTACATAAATATTAAAGAGTAGAAGTGCATCGCCGTATGCACCGCACGCAAAATGTCACCAACTAGCGTCAACCGCCAATTGTCTGCTGATGGCAAAGCTCAATCGACAACGCATGCATACATAAATACATAATTATGCACGCATACCGAAACAAGCGTATTCATGGGTATGCAACGTAGTGCGTATACGTAATGTATGTATGTAGATATGTATATTAGCGCTCCGCCCACATATGTACTCAAACTTCAGTTTATTTGTTTGTATTGCTGGTGCTTTAATGGTTTGCTGACGCTGCATTACGCGGTTTTCCGCAACACAAACCCTTGAGCATACATGCGTATGTAGATTAGGGTCGTCCAAAATAATTAAAGACAGAATTTTTTTGCATTTTGAAATCAAAAAATATTTAGAGGTCGCTCAAAGCGCTCAAAGGTTTCTATGTATTTTTACATGGAAGAAAATAACTTTTCGTAGAAATGGTATAGAATTCCTGAAAATCAATATTTTTCGATCGGAAAACTCTGGTTCTCTTCTGAAGACTTCCAATAATAATATCAAATTGTTTATTTAACTATTTTTTTAATACTAACCCATCACATTTTCTGTGAGCTTCGGCGAACCTTTAATATATATGTAGTTACTATGAAAAAATAGTTAAACGAATAACTGGGAATCTCCTGCAGAGAACAGGTTTTTCCGTTCGAAAAATATTGATTTTCTGCGAAAAGTGGGTTTGTCCCCATTTAAAATACATGGAAAATTTTGAGCGCTTTGAGCGACCCCTACATATTTTTGATTTCAAAGAAAAAATAGGGATATATTTTTTTTGGTAAAGAAGAATCCTAGGGGGTGAGAGCATAAAAATGCCGACTTTACTTTTTCACATACATTTTTGGAGCACCCTTATGAGCATACACCATGCAACCATGCAAGCCAAACATTCGCCGCAACATGCATAGATATTGGCTGGTAAAAGCGTCGCCAAGGCATAGCTGCAGTCAAATGCAGTGTGTATGTAGCGCTTGGCGATGATGTGCGTGTGTGTGGATAAGTATTTGTGGCAACTACCCTATACAAATTTTTGGTAAATCTCAATTTGAGATGCATTTGGGAATCACTCCTTTTCTGAATAGTTTTCAAAGTGTTGCCAATGATGTATATATGTAGGTAAAAGAAAGACAACAATTTTTTATAAGACAGGATTTTTTATTTGTGCTTACACAGCTTCCCCACAACGACTTCTACCCAAGTTCCAGAGATGAAAACGAGTCAGAAACCTTATGACACCTGCTATGCGAATGTCCCGCACTTTACAAAACAAGTTCTTGGGATCAGAATACATCAAAGGTTTAACCGACATAGTCGAAATAGGAATACGGCGACTTTTGAGTTTTGCATACTCTACACGATGGTTTGAGTACGAGGATTCTAACGTGCCGCGTGGTATTACGACGGGCCCAAAATCTTAATGGCCTAGGTGTGCTAGCAACCACCTCAACCTAACCTATCCTAGTTACTTACAGTTTGCAAAGTAATTTTTTGAAAACAAAGACGATAGAATTCATCTTGAACACTATATGTTATATAAAAAGATTTTTAAGTCTATTAAAAATATAAAAATTCTTAAAACAATGCATTTATTTAGCACAAAAAAATTCAATTTTTTTTCTCCGCGTTTGGGTGTATTGCGCTTTTTCCCCACAAAAATTGTTTTGTTTTGATTAATGTCATTTCAAATAAGCAAAAGCTCGTTTAATATAATTCATAATTTTTTACATAACAAATATATTTTGCTTTTATCATAAAATTATTATTTACTTTTAAGCAGACAACACAACCGGCATCCTATCGATGCAGCAATAAGATCAGTAAATTAAATGAATTTAATTAATGTATTGTGGAATTTAATTAAATTCACTTGAACGATGAGCCATTTTCCGACAGACAAATTGCGAGTCATGAGTTCTGTTCGTCGGGAAAAAAATTCGTACGAATTTGTATTAATTATCATAAAACTTAAAATACATGAGCATTTTTTTATGAAAAAACTAAGTAACTATTTGTTGATATAATTAATTTAGTTAATTGCAATGATTTGAACTGTACTCGGCTGAAAAAAAAATTTTATTCGCAATCGGAATGCAATTGCAACCGGAGTCGATTTAAGAAAGCCGACAGCTAGTACGATAAAGAAATTGAAATGTATGTTAAAGAAAGTCAGAACAACAAGATATATACATGCTAATCCTGTTTTTGTCCATCTGAAAAAATTTAAAAAATTCTATAAAAAGTTTTTAAGTTTAAAATGCAACCGTGGACACCAGCTGGCAGGCAAACTGCAAATTTCTTGCTCTCTGATATTTTGAATGTTGGATAATTCTTGCTGGATTTTCGACGAACAAACCTATCGATAACTACATCTGAGACTATCTTTCATTTTTACCTGAGAGCGGGCACAGAAATTCGTTTGCGTGGTTGGCAACACTGCCAATCCCTTGACAGATAAATATCTGATATCGGAAATGGCGAACTAAAACTAGATGCGTGGAAAATGCATCATTTTGAATTTAGTGGATTTCTATAGTTCGTAGTTTTTACTATGAAACACTAAAGGTCGATTCATGCCTTTCTCTCACAAAGAGAGAAAAATAACAACAACCACATGGAAGAAAAAGTTCAGAACTGGAACGATGAATAAAAAACAGGTATGAAAAATGTAGTAATTTTCTCTAGTTTTGTTTAATCAAAAGTTTCTAAATAAAATTCATGTTTTTGTCAAAGGGGCTCTATTGAAAGATGTTATAAAAAGTGCACATTTTGACATGCGAAAAA